ACATCACGTAGATTACAATTTTCAAATACATGATTATTATTTTTAAATACTTGTTTTCATGTCTATCTTTTTCTTGTACATTGTACACCCTGAATACATAAAAATAATTTATACATATTTAACATTTTTTCAATAGATGATTAACAATTTTTTTAAAATATATCTTCTTAAGTCTATCATTTTCATACACATTGTACATTTTATATACATAACATTTTTTATACACTTTTGATTTTTCTCAACATATGATTACCAATTTTAGAAACACATTTTTTGATATCTACTTTTTTCCATACAGCTTGTAGAGTTTTTGGATACATTGAGAATGATTTGGTATACACGTTTAACATTTTTCAAACATATGATAAACATTGTTTTTAAATACATGTGTTGATGTATATCTATTTCATGCACATTGAACATTTTTTATATACAGAAAAAAATGTTTATACACATTTTTTTTCCAATTGATGATTAACATTTTAAAAATACATGTTTTGATGTCTATCTTTCTCGTACACATTATACATTTCCTATATACATATAAACAGTTTTAAGACACCTTTAATTCCAATATATAATTAACATTTTCAAAATATATCTTGTGATGTCTAATTTTTTTCATACACCTTGTACATTTTTTATACACTAAGAACACTTTGTTATACACGTTTGTCATTTTTCATGTAGATGATTAACATTTTTTCTCATAAACATGTTTTCATATCTTATTATTTCATACACATTTTATATTTTTCGTACACATCAGAAGCATTTTTCTATACACATTTAACATTTTCCAAATGCATGATTAACATTTTTCAAACTTTTATGTACAATGTTTTTTGTAATATATACATTTAAATTATTCGAAATATAAAAAAGTAAAAAACAATAATTTACGAAAAGTAAGGAAAAAACGAGCGCTTAAGGCCCACACGCTAGACCGGGCCATTGGCATAGACGCTTCAGGCAGGTGTTCACGGTCTCACGCTAAGCGAGGCATGTTCGCGCCCTTGGAATGCATCCTAGCCCATCTTGATTGTATCTATTTGGGCCGCACGACTAGAGGATCAGCTAGCAATATTTAAACCACAACACTTGGCAGAAGTCTAGTAAACCAAATGCTATAGCAGCAGCTAAACGGTAACATCACTACAATTGTTGCTAGAGATGCCGTCTTTATGAATCGACTATACTAGGTCGAAGGATTTACATGGAACACACTAAAATTCGATGGTACACAGCAAAAGCATTATTGGCAAGGGAGTGACAACACTGAGAGATGTCAAAATAGAATAAATTGCCCTGAAAGAATCAATAGTGTCCGATTATGCGGGCCACTGAGGAGTAGGTTCCGAGGGCGGCACTGACGACTCCGACCACTATTATAGAGACGCTCGCAATCACCTGAAATTGGAGATGTTGGAGTAACCGTATAGTGTGCCCAGGAAAATCTTGAATGCAAGGAAGCTTGGAAAGCTTAAGTTTATGGAAAATGCTATATTACCTGAGGACGTGTGGCTTTATTCTGCGCGATCTTCAGGAAGCACAAGGCGGGCATTATGACTGCCTGTAATCAGGCAATGAAGTTAAAACGAGCACACAATTGTTCCTCTGCCATCTGCATTTGTTATATATATTTTTAGGACAAAGACTAGCAAGAGCATGATACTGTTATATCATGAGCAACCCAAGGGGATGTAGTCAACTTTACCAAAAAGAATATTGTTTGACCAGTTTTATCGTTTAACAGATTTTTCAGCTACCTCAGTAAGCTATATAGGCCATTAAGTGAAGAAAAATGGCATACCACAAGTGTACTAAGAAGGGATCCAATCAGAGCCATCATCAGACCTGAAATATGCAACACGCAAATCAGGAATACACCGTACACGGAGCTTAACAGCTATGTATCCAGACAAGTCTTCTCTGAGCCACCTTTACAGATTAGAGAGCTGCTATACGTACGATCAAAATTCGTATGAACATGTACGATGGTGTTGTGGACCCAAACATCAGAAAGCGGTGCCTCTCTTGTCTTACAAAAATCATATGGAAAACCATCATAGAAATGTAGTTTTGTTTACAGATTACAGAGCAGACGGCTTAAGCACCTGTACTGTGCAAGTACTATAGTAACCAGAGGTGTTTCACGAGGTCGGTACAAAAAGGGTGTGTTTTAGGGATATTTGGGTTTATAACAGAGAGTAGTCCTCAATTAAAAGAAGTCACCAGTAATCAAAAGTAAATTTTTTTTTTGCGGGTGAGTAATCAAAAGTAATTGATATGAACATCTCAGTGCTCATTATCGCTCCTAGTACTATGAATGGGTTCATTTTTCCAAGAGCACACATGAGGAAAATATTGAAACTTCAATGAATATAAATGCCGGTTGAACTACTATTGTTTGTATTGCGCTACTTTGCATGTAAAGTTCATGCACCATCTGCAATTCCAAAATAATGCGTTTACAACGAAACTCTACTGGGTTTTCAAGAGAACCAATGGAAATAAAATGTACCGCAACAAGTAAATTGGATTGACTGATGTAGAGGCCGGAGGTAATCCTCCTTTTCAAAAAAAAAGAAAAGTAAATTGGATTGAGAGTGAATACTGGATTAATAAAAGACAAAAAAAGCAAATGATGATAAGTATGCATTCTATATGCATAAGAGATTTGACATTCTTATTTTTAATAAAAATACATAGAAAAAAAAATCTGTGCCGATGAAAGGTATAAAGCATACCGAAGAATGGAAAAAGAAAGGCAATGACAGCCGTTGACGCAACAAGGGCAGTCCTCAGTATAACGGAGCAGATTGTTTCATTCAAAAATCCTTCAGGGCGCAAGTCTTCTAAACTCCGAGCCAATGGGTTTAAAAATAAGGCAAATCTGTTTGTGGTTAAGGATGAAGCTGTTCTATACGGAGTTAGGTACGGTGAAAATAAACATAATCCTATAATCCTTGACTTTACAAAGTTTGATGATAGAAAGGTTGGTGGAGTGAGCCTTAGCTTAACTGGTTGGGGGCTGGATGTACAAACCCAACATCTAGGTTTAAATTCTTATTCTACCCCATTTTTAGAAAACAAGTCATCCAAGTCGTTCTCGTGGGCGGCTGGGCGAAACCCTAGCCACCGCCGCCCGCACCTCCTCCCCGCCTCCCCCTCCCCTCGCCGCCGCCGGAGGCCCCCTTCTCCCTTCTCCCCTGGCGTCAGCGGTGGCGGGGCCGCTTCTCCCTTCTCCCCTGGTGGCTACGATGCAGGATATGGCGAGCGGGCGGGGAGCGTGGCGCTCCCGCAGGGCGTTGCGGTCTCGGACGAACGGGCCTTGGGTGTGGCGATGTGTCGACGCGGCAGCGACTGCATGGTGAAGGTGGCGGGACGGGTCGGCGTGTCGTGACAACGAGGCTGCTGGTGCTGGTTCCGTTAGATCTGGCGCCTCGAGTCACCGGTTGTGGGCAGCGAGGGGCGGTGTCCTCTGCCGTGGCGGCGATGGTGTCAGCGTGGTGGAGGTAGCGGTGTGGTGGTGGTCCTTGTGCTCTTGTCACATTTCGGCAACGATCTGCATGATCGATCCCCCTCGATCTGGACGTTGACGTGTTCCGGAACTACTGTTGGAGATCTTGCCCAAGGATATCTGGATCGGATAGTATCCGCTCGTGTGCGTCCATATCAGCCTATGTGGCTCCAGGAGGGTGTGATGTGAAGCTCTATTGTTTGTTGACACCATGAGTCATGTCGGCATCTCGATTTCCATGGCACAGACAGCGGCAGAGAAAGTCTTGATGGCTAAGATCGGAGGATCAGTAAGGCGGAGGGGGTCTTGAAGGCAATGGAGTCAGTCAGGTGTTTGAGAACTTTCAGTAACAAAAGTGTCAAGTGGGGGCGGCATCACATGAGGATTTCATTCTTGGTGGTGCTCCTCGGGTGCCGAGTTATGACTTTCATGATGAAATCTAAGGTCTAGCCTTTATTGGTTGTGCCTGACAATTGCCTTGTTGAAGGTATTATTTTGAGAGCTCGGTCTTTCTCGAGCGTGAAAACCTATGATCTTGGATCTATTGACGACGGTGCTTGTGCACTATTTCTTCTTGAAGGCGTCGCTTTTGGAGACCTTTTATGTTTTTCGGATGCTGTCTTTGGTGGTGGTTTTTATGCTGCTGCTGCTGAGAGGAGTTGATCACCGTGGTGAGGTCCTTTCTTTCCCTTTCCTTTTGTTTCCTTTTCATGATGTGTGCATCCTGAATATTTTTGTAACTTCTTGTTGGTGCAGAGCTTGGGTGTATTAATATCTTCGCGATATTAATATATTTTCCTTTTCAAAGAAAAATATATTCCAAAGGATACTTAGTGAAAGGGTTGATCACCTGAGACAACAAAAATGTTAATGATCAATATCACATAAAATGTTACAGTAGTAGTAATTAAATTAAGTCGAGCAAAATTGATACCGTGGTCCACATAGCAACTTTCGAGGCAAATGACTCTTTTGGAAGATTCAATGTTATTTGTGACAGTGTCTTGTCACCAAACATGAGATAGCCCATAATAGCAAATGAGCCATATATTACTGTGCAAATTGCGAAGCTGCACAATACAATTATGCATGCATTGAAGAATTTGACCATTACACTAACCCATGTAAGAAAGTTGTTCATGCATACCATATAAAAAGTGCCTTGGTGAATTTTGTGCGATCAGACATTGATTGGTAGATATTTGGAAACACTGAATGCCCAGAGTAGCAAAAACCATAAATACCGATAGCAAAGGGCATACCACTCCACCTCACTGCTTCCCCAGTCGGATGGAAACCTACACCTTCAGTGGTGCCGACTAGAGCAACAGATACAAAAACTACAAGAGTTGCAACAATACCGCCCGCTGCGCAAATAATCATATCATGTTAATAATACTAATGATGGTCGTAACAAAATTAATTATGCAGGCTAAGAGTAGTTCGACCTGAAAGGTATGATAGAACTCGAAGATCTCGCAGCCATACTGTGGGCAGGATTACAAGAGTAGTGAACACTCCAAAGAAATGTTTACTGTCAACATAAATCCCTAAGAAATTAAGATTAACGCCAGGAAAGATTGATGTCATACTATCACCTTCCAAAATAATGAATTCCACACAATAAGACTGCATCCAAAGAATAATACGCAGAGATAAATGTGTCTTTCCCAATAATCATACAGAGATAAGTTTGAAACAGTTCCATGATTTGCTCCATAATCAAGCAATTGGATGGCAAACTTTGGAAAATACAAGCCATGCGGAATTGAGCTACTTACATATAACTCGGTATACAAAATAATCTGCAAAAAGAGTAAACATCAATTAGTGGTGTTGTACGCTACCAGAGATAAACAATTTATGCATGAAAGTAAGATAAATTAAATAAGATACTTAGATGTGCATTTTCTCAGCCTAGAGATAGCTAGGACCTTTTTTCCGAGAATACTAGGGGGTACCGGGGTAGCTAAGACTGAAACTATGCAGAGGCCAGGGGGATTCCCTCCTTCTCGAAAAAAGTAGCTAAGACTGAGACTTCTGTCTTACAATTTTGATGTATTCATGTCATGTGAAAATTCTGAAGTGGGTGGCAACATTTTAAAAATAGGAATAAAGATCTAGAGCTTGAATCGAATCAGCAGGTGTTTATGTTAGCTTGTAAATTTTCAAATGTGGCAATGGTCTAGCAAGGAACATGTTTATGCCAGGTTGTGATTTTTCAGATACAGAAATGACACGGCAAGGATGAGGTTGTCAAACTAACGCCAAGCACAAAACAACATGACAAAAGGAGAGTTATGGGCACACCAGATGTGTCTGTATTGCTCCCACATGATACTTGTGCAAATAATTTATGTTTGTTTTTACCAACAAAGCGAATTATAATTAACTACCTAGAAAATGTACGCATTTTGACTAATCAAGACAGTATAGCATCGAAAACACAACCTTATAGCGAAGCACAGTAGTTTTTACGGTTATGTGCTATGCTGTTTTCCGGCTTTTGGTGGCACTCGGATGCTCATAACATTATCTAGAGTGTTATCTGATCCATCTTACTCTACAGAAATCAGGGCTTACAGATATGAACAGACGGCCAATTCTTCCAAAGGCAGCCTCCCCAATGTCTGGATAGTTTGTAATGCCATCTTTGCTCTCAAAGCAATGCTTGAGAAGAACTCCAGTATAACAACAAATAATTGCAACAAAAGACAGAAGTGCAAGACCAGACCATCCAGCTTCATGGATTGTAAACGGAGTGGAAAGAAGGCCAACACCAGCGAGCGCGTTAATACCTATAGAAAAGAAACATACGATAATCAAATATGTTCAACTTTAAGGAGGTTATTAATCTATCTTTGCTGTACCATTGAAGACTGTCTGCGTTACGCTGCACCCTCCGTTATGCTGAAACGAGAGGTCCTCGTCTCTAACTGAACCAGGAAGATGTCTCCGAAGGCTCTTGATAGATTCTAGTTTATCCGAGATAAAAGGCAACTTGAGGTCACCATCAATTGAGGACTTTCTAGTTGAAGAACCCAGGTAACCAAAGATGGGAGATGCAGCAATGGTGTAGGCGTCACTTGCTTCCCTGCAAAAATAAACACCACGTCGTGATCATTAGTCATTACCGTCTGTACATAAAAGGAAAACTTGTGGCATTCTTGCCAGCTATACTAGGAAATGCCAGCAAAGGCATCAACCAATTCATGGTTATCAATGTAAGAATGATACCCATTGACAGAAAAAATCCCGGGAAGTGTCATATTAGTGCTAGTGCTAGGTGTCAACAGAGGTACTCCGACCCACCGACTCCAGTGAATCCTTTGGCTGCCTCACTCCTCACCCGCCGACACCTCCGTCGCCAACTCATGTGGGCGCTGCCGCCGTCACTTCCCCTTCCGGTCTGGTCTCCTCCCCGCGCCGTCTCTGTATTCTCTTTTTCGTGCTTGCGAACAACAAGTTTCGGGGAATGCTAAAAATATGATGGCAAATTTGATGTTTTTTTGTACCAATTTATATTAACATGACGATGGTAAATTTAGTTTGCAAGCACGTTAATTTTTGGCAAGAAAATAAACAAAGACATATTTGTCATGCTCGTCAACTAAATTTTTCATCCTCAACAAACATAATTTCTCATAAAATTGTTTAAGTTGCAATGCCTAAAAATCTGACGTTGCTGGATATTCGGGTCTTTTTGTGTAGAGAATGAAGATAAAGCTTGCCATATGGTTTGTGCCTCGTAGGCCGCCCCGCGGGCATGGATTTTGTTCTCTGCATGGGCCTGACATGGCACACGAATTAAACGGATGGACTGCCCCTGCCATGAAGCAAGATCACCCCTTAAAGGCCGGGCACGGCCCTTCTATTTGCGGGTCAGCACGGTAGGATGACCCATACAACACCATTTTTTGGTTTTCCTATTTCTTTTAGATTTTCTGTATTTTCTTATATTTTTTATTTTTAATATATTTTCTTAGCTTTGTAGACCGGAATAAAGCAGGAGGCCAAAAACAACGCGGGCCGGCCCACAACGTGGTGTCGGGCCGATTCTCAAGGCCAGCCCTTTGCGCTGGCACGACATGACCCTTTTTTGCCTGCACATGTGGCCGCATTTGGATGGAAGGGAGGGAGCGAATTCAGGTGTAAATGGAGCGGCAAAGCCTCAAATTTGCGGGAGGGTGCAAGACGTGCATCCGTGAATTCTTAGAATAGACAAAAGATCGGGAATACCAAAGGACGCAAAGTTTCTGCTCCCGAGCTCAAATGAGCTATGGTGAACAATAGAATCGAAAAAATTCAAAAAAATCTATTTCTTTTATAAGAAACATTGACAAAAGTTCTAAGTGCTTGCGAAAATTTGTCAGGAAATAACATTCCTGTAAGGCGTAAAAAAAAGATGCTCCAAAATGCTTTTAGAAGTAGCATTTTCAGAGTATCCATTTTTGTTTTGCCACACCTTCTAGGAAGGTGATTTCATAACGAAATTTTTGCTAGGGCTTAGAACTTTTGTCAATGTTTCTCCCAATTTTTTTTGGATTTTTTTGATTTTACTGTTCACCGAGCCCATTTGAGCTCGGGGCCAGAAACCAAACCCATATTCTGCCGTCTAAGAGCATCGCCAACAGCCTTCCAAAGTGTAACATTCCAAATTTTCAATTTGGAATGTTTTAAAATTATTAACTAAGCATCTATGCATGTTGTTTGAAATTTGAGTGGCATTTGAATTTCAGAGGCATTTGAGTTTGTTTTTTGAATTTGAATTCGAATTGGCAATTGGAATTTATTTCAATAATACCTGACAAATACTTGAGCAAAAGTATGAGAGGAGGAAACATGACACTCCAAAAAAAATGTCAGAATAAAATATTGCCAAAAGGTTTGAATTCAAATTTGAATTTTATTTGGAATTTTCAGAAAATGTTTCTTTTAGTTTCTGTTTTGCATCTGGAAAAATGTCCACATTGTAGGAATAATTCTTCTGAGTTTATTAATATATATATATATAGTATATATTTTTCTTTATTTAGTTTTTCCCTCTGCCTTATTTCAAAAAGAAGGAAAACCCCCCGAGCTGGCCAGGCCAACGGCCCAGCCAACGCCGAGCCGCCAGCCCCGCGCGCAGCGCCCGCACCCGAATCCCCCTCGCACCGGCCGCCCGTTCGCTCTTCTCTCTCTCTCCCTCTCTGATCCGCTGACCCCACGCCTTCTCTTCCCCCTGGCGCACGCAATGCCACGCCAGAGCACGACTGGAGCCGCCCGTCGCCGCGATCTTCTCGGGTTCGCGATCCCGCGTCACCCCCTCACCCAAGTCCATGCCCTATATAAACCCCTTGGCCTCCTCTCCTGACCCCCCCTAAAACCCTAGCCTAAACCCCACCACAGACCACGCCCTCGCAAAACGCATCTCACCGCCGCCGCCTCGGTTCGCCGTCGCTTCCAACGCCGGTGAGCAACCCCCTGCCCTCCCAACACCTTCAACCGAACCGCCACCTCCACTCGCACCGCCTTGACATCATCCCTTCTCCTAGGAAACGCCGGAGTCGCCGCCTTGAGCATCACCCGCCGCTCACCGGAGCTACAGAGCGCCCGACGCTCCACCACCTCGTCCCGCTCTCCTCCGACGCCCCCGAGCTCCACCAGCTCCACCCCCGACCTCGCCTCACTCCGCCGCAGCCGCCCGAGATGTCCGCTGCCTTTCCCGACCGCCGGAGCGACGCCGCCGACCACGCCCGAGCCACCGCCGTCGTCTCCGTCCATCGCCGCCGTTTGCTGTAAGCCCGAGCTCCTCTCTACCGTTAGATCTCGAACCAACGCCCCAGATTAGAACCCTGAAGGGATACGGTTTTTTATCTGTCGTTTTTTTTACAGTTTAGTTAGTGGTTCGGTTGAACCGACCGTTTACCTTTTCTATTTACCCGCGAGTGCATTTTAGTTAGTTTTCGCCTGAGCGATAGATAGGCCCAGTCGCGCCTGTTTTTTTGTTTCTGTTTTAGTTTCTGTTTTTAGCAGAAAATAGTTCTGTTTTTGTAAAAGCTCTAACTATTAGGATATTTATTGTTTTTAGTTGATTATTTTTTGTTAGTTTAAAAATTTACTGTAGTTTCTGTAGAAAATAGGTTTGTCCATGTTTAAGTTTATAAAGAATAATTTATATTAGTTTTAGTCAGATTAGTTTTTCTGCCATAAATTGAGTTAGGATTATTCTATTTTAGTGATTTTTTTACCGCTTAGTTTTGACCTTGCCTAGCAGTAGGAACTTGCTGGGGTATTTTTAGATTGTATTAAAATTAGTTTTACTCGAAATCAAGCTTTTCTAGTTTTATTTAGCTTGCTACTGTTTCCTGCTGTTCTAGTTATTATAAAATTTTATTTTACCTCTGTTATAATTATTTTAGATTAATTTCTGTAGTTATAGAGGGTGAAATTTTATTTATAGTTAAATAATAAAAAAATTATTCTAGTTTTGTTTTAGGCATAATAGGAGTTCTATAATAGCTTTTGATGTGATTCTTTTTGCACCTAGTTTATATGATGTTTTCCTTTCTGTTAGTTAGCAAAACCCTTGTTTAGTGTTTAGGTTCTGTTAGGAAAAGTTTTAGTAGGATAAAACTGTTTCCTAGTTGTTTGCTTGAAGTGATGAAAACCTTGATTTGTTTTTCTTCGAGTTTTCTTTGGTATTGGTTTGAGTGCTTTGGGTCATTTACATTAACTTGTTGTTATGTTATATAGTGCTATACTTATTTGTGCTGTTGTTTGACTCGATAGAATTCCCGGAGTGCGAGACCTGCTATTATGAGTTGCTAGCTTTCGAAGACCGTCAACCAGGCAAGTCATTTGATCATGTTTTACAATACCTATGATTTTGTTGCATTAGAATTATTCCTCCCCACCATGCATGAAGTAGGAGAATTTTAAGTTATGTTCTTGAGTCGTATCATGAGGTAGGATGAACCCATTTCCCTTGTTACCAATGCCCGGGACGATGTAGTTGATTGTTATGTTTTACAATACTTTTTCCGCCGCCGCAAGTTCATGTTCTACAAGATCCCATCTGGAGGCCTTTTTCGGCACCTTGCCAGAGGGGGAATCGATCACGGAGGGCTTCTACACCAACCTTGCTTCCCTTCTGATGATGTGTGAGTAGTTTACCACAGACCTATGGGTCCACAACTAATAGCTAGATGGCTTCTTCTCTGTCTTTGATATGCAATACAATGTCCTCCTCGATGTTGTTGGAGTTTTATTTGATGTAATCTTCTTTTGCGGTGTATCTGTTGGGATCCGATGAATTGTGGGTTTATGATCACATTATTCTGAATATTAATAGAGTCTTCTCTGAATTCTTTTATGCATATTATTATAGCTTTGTATTTCTCTCTGATCTATCTCTTTGGTTTGGCCAACTAGGTTGATTTATCTTGAAATGGAAGAGGTGTTTTGTAATGGGTTCAATCTGGCGGTGCTCTATATCCCAGTGATAGAAGGGGACAAGAAACATATTTGTATTGTTGCTATTAAGGGAAAAATGGCAGTGTTTATTCATATTGATTGGATTTACTTTGTCTACATCATGTCATCTTGCTTAAGGCGTTATCTGTTTTTTATGAACTTAATACTTTAGATGCATGCTGGATAGTGGTTGATGGGTTGAGTAATAGTAGTAGATGTAGGCAAGAGTTGGTCTACTTGTTCTGGATGTGATGCCTATATACATGATCATTACCTTGAATATTGTCATAAGCCTTTAGTGAAAATTATGGCCCCCGGGTCTACTTTTATTATATATAAAATCCAAATATCACTAGCATCTTTGTGAACATCAAATATAGTTAGCATAGGAGTACATATTAATACTCACAAAAAACGAGACAACGCAATCTTGCAAAAGCAGAAGAACTTTGTAAGAGAAATCAATTGTTGAGAAATTGAAAATCAGCTAAGTGACTCTTGGCAAAATATATCTAGGTCACGCTGCTTAGGTAAAGAACTATGTTATCATGAAGAAGTACCATTGGTCTTCTTTATTTCAAACCATAAAATCCTGAATTAGCTCATTCAAAAATCCAAGAAAGAATATTTACCATT